CTTTATCCGTACCGGATACTCGTTGGCCTATAGCTGTGCCTTAAGATTCTGCCCAATAAAATCACAAAACAGTGAGAAGACACAACCCTGGCAGAGTCCAGCACCCACTGAGAAAAGGCTTTACTTACTAATATGAACTCAACTCTTGCTACACATACTGGATGTCTCATAGCAACAACCCCAGTACTGCTTATCTCACAGCAGTCTCCACAAGATACCCTGGGGGACACAGTCATTAGCCTTCTCCAAGTCAAAAATACATGTAGAATGTAAAATGTGGTAGACCGGATGTTTTTACCCAAGGTATAGATACGGTTCTAATTGTTTAAATGGGTGCAACAAACAGGTTGTTGATAAGTTGTGGCTGTCCTCTGAATGTTTGCTCTTAGTCTCTACCAGTAATCAAGAATGAAAGCAACAGTCACAGCAGCTGATGATTAAGATGATATGTAGGTGCCTGATTCTGTAGAACTCAATAATTATGATATTATGATAATGATTTGGAGGCTCTCATGATGGAGGCACTGGGTCTCTCGCTCTCAGACACACACATTGTATGTCCTCCTATGTCCCGTTGCATAGGAGCTACCAGCCATTAGTCCATAGTAAGAGCAGCAGGGCTTGAAATGAAAAGCTGATAATGGCTGGGTTTAAAATGAGACCTGCCAGAGGATCTAACAACTTGTTACATCTGATGAATGAGCCAGTATATTTGGGGACTACTGGAGACCACTTCATATACTGCATATGGCCTCTATAACAGCAATTCTCTTCATTGCATAATAATGATTACATCTATTTCTTAACCGTATCAAATGAGTAAAAGCTTGTTTGCACGAATAAAACTGTCTGGTAACTGGGCCTCGGGGCTCCTTAACACAGCTCTTTTGACGTATCTTTCATTGCAGTGAATACTGCCAATGCAGATGCTATTATTATGTCTATGTCTAGGATGGACGGCTGCCCAGACGTTGTGTCTCTTTATAAAAATAAACTCTCATTGTGCCAGTGCATGAACACAAATTATCATTAACAATAGGAGTGGTATATCCATATCATTCTTAATACTCGCCAATTTTCTGTTTTGCTGGAGTTCCAGTTTCTCACAAGTCCCAACAGGAACCCAGACACTGTGCTGCAACTGTTTTTTTTCTGTTACCAGCACAGCAAGGGGTGCTGGTGTGTGTGAAACTTTGTTCAAAGATAAACCAAAAGAAACAACCAACACTAGCACCAGCTGCCTACTGAGTATGAACATCTGTAACCTCATGCTATATTTGTGTATGGCTACTGATAGAAACAATTATTATTGAAGTTATGATTGCACAAGGCAGTTTTGTATTCATCAGTTTTGGTTATACTGCAGTGTGCACACTGCATTTCCAATCCATTTCAGGGTAAACCATTACCCATGCTAAAAACATGTTCTTAAAGGATAACGACTCTTAATTGCAATATGGGTCTTATTTTTTAGGTCTGGCCATCAGTTTTATCAGACATTCACAAAACACATGTCCAACACTGAAAACATGTCCAACAGGGAAATGGAAAATGGACTGCACTTATATAGCACCTTTCTAGACTTCCGACCACTGAAAGTGCTTTATACTAATTCAAGTGGCCGAACTACAAGTCGTCCAAACTAAACAACAAAATATGTTATTTCTCATTCCCTTCTCTTTCCCTCTGTGTGCAGTGACTTCCAAAACTGTTACAAAACAGTGTAAGAATTTGTATGATCATTTCCTGATCTCCACTGCCATGAATACATTTTAGTTGACTTGTTGAAAAACTACACAGTGAAGGTAACGCATCAATCTTGGTCATAGTCATGGTTAAAAGAAACCAACATGGAATTTTGTTGGAAACGACAAACATACTGCAGTTGTTTGACAATTGTGTTTCTTCTATATCTCTGTCAGTGTACATGTAATGTAAAGCATTTGAAGTTACAGAAAGCAGATACAAATCCCCATGTTTGATTTCTTATGTTTAATTTAAATAACATTCACCAAAGTTAATGTGATTCTCATCTGCAATGTGAAGAGAGATTGATGAAAATGTGCGCCAGTGTGATAAGTGAGGTTTAGTGTTAAGAGCAGCTAATCCAGAGCCAATCCTGTAATGTGTATTCATGCTAAGTGAATTATTATTCTTAACTCAGTGAATATGGCCACAGGTGCAAGCTTGGCTCTGCCACACTCAAATCCACATGCTTCATGCCTGGTTGTTCCCTTCTCTGTGTTTACTGGCTTTGTTTGTTTTTTGGTGGAACTGCAGGTCCGTGAGTGTGATTGCACTGACATGCTCGGTAACTGATCTACACGTTAGCAGAGCACATTAGCGGTAATGTGAGTGGTTTGTCAGTGCAGCGCGATGGAAGCCTCGCCTAACAGGCTGTTAAATAAGATGTGCATTCAACCTTTTTCTCCATTGTCATTATTATCAGTTGTAGACTTGGGGGCTGAGCAGCCATCCAGCCAGTCAGGGGAGAAAGCAGCAGGATATTAGAGTCCTAGTCACCGCTTCATTTTGCTTGTCCATGTGTGTATGTGTGTTTTTTTTCCATATGATGTAAGATAAGTAGTAGGACCGTGAAAGGTCAATCATGAATAACAATCTTCAACGTGTCATTATTCAGCTAAAACTGCGCCTGCATTCACAGCCGGCAATCAATAGAGACCAATCATCAGGCAGTGCAGTGAAAACCTGTCCTGCTCATATCAGCACACACTCTGTCATCACTGGTACACAGGCATGTTTCCATCTTACATACAGCAATAATTTAACCCGTTAACACCTACCTACTCACGGTGTTGAGCTTAGCTTTGGGGTAAGCAAGTGTGGTAGAATAAGGGTGGGTCTTATGAGTAACTCCTACAAATTTGTACAAATTAATAAGTAGAGGATAACTTATGTGAGGTTAAGCGTTAAGAACAGGATTCATCCTACTAAAATAATAAAATGTGATTTTTTTTCTACTGGACAAAGGGAATTTTACCTGATGGTGGCGCTTAAAGAAAAGTCAGTCAATTACCAAAGCATTCATCCTCTGGGGACCATGAATGTACCAAATTACATGGAAATCCATTCAATAGTTGAGATATTGATGCCTGGATCAAAGTGGTGGATTCACTGACATTGCAATCAAGTCATCTAGAATTTGCAAATGACAAGTAGGAATGTCAGAAATTCAAAAGAAAGTTTTTATGGGTACTTTAGGTGGAAAGTTTAACATATCAAAACGGTAAAGCCCATGGCTCACCAATAAGCGTTTCTAATTGCTCGCCACTTTCTGCTTTAAATCTAGCAACTTACTTTACGATTTTTCTGGCGTGAACCATCTTACTTACTTCTTGTCTCTGTTGAGAGTTGCACATGCTCAGTGCTGATAGACACTCAAAAAAAAAAAAAATGTGGTGGGTAAAGACAAAATGTCTGAGCATTTCAGTTACCCTGGAAACAGAAGTTCAGTTCGCTGGTGTTAGAGGATGTGGGCAAAACTCAAACTATGTATTGTGTAGTTTGCTGCAAGTTGGAGAGCAAGGTGGATTAAACAGTCGTTCACCAAAGAACGTTACTAGAGTGCCATATGAAGAGTCGACAGCACCGCACTTGCATAGCAGCTGAGAGGGTCTCTGTTGTTATTCGAAAACTGCTAATAAATTCAACTATTTGTATAGGGGCAAGTAAAAATTTAATGTGGGCAAGTAGATTTTTGACCCACTTGCCTGACAAACCATTAACGTTGAACCCTGCTGACAGACAGGTTTCAGATAGGCCTAAATGTCACAGTACCTGTTCAGCTTTCTCCATTGTACACATGCCCACATATGGATCAAAACCTGTTCCACACTTTCAGCCTTTCCACAGCTATGCTTTCTGTGCAGGTGTTTCCCAACAAGTGCCAGTCCTCATTTTAGTGCAGAGACAATCTCAACTGAGTCCTCATCTGTTCATTTTCGATAAAATGATAATGGTTCAACACTCAACCTAATGTATGCTATGGGAAACATCCAAGACCACTGACCCAAAACCTTACTGCATTGCTTCCCCTTCATAACTGGTTATTTGTTAATATCAGGCACTGAGCTGGTAGGTGGGAGGCTGGTGGGGATTATTTTAGGAGTGCCCAAACAGTCCAGTGTGTATCCAGGGGGCTTAAAGATCATCCAGGGCTGTAGGAGGGATGACAAATTAGTTTGTGTGTCACATTTATTGGTCTGGACTCTGAGCTCTGACAGGCTTTAAACCACAGAAAGGAATACAGGCACTCTTGAAATAAACTATTACCTGCGCTCTCTCTCCCTCCAACCTCTGTATAATCCCTCTCTCTCCCTCCTCTGTGTGTCAGTCTATTGATCCAGGGCAGCAGTTCACCTGGGAGCACTCCAACCTGGAGGTCAACAAGCCAAAGAACCGATATGCAAATGTTATTGCCTACGACCACTCCAGGGTCATCCTCACACCTGTGGATGGTGAGAGAAAGAGTGGACATTACATACCGTGATTCTTAAATAGTCATCAGGGCATTGCTTTTACCCCAACTGCAGCAGTATTTATAACAGGCTTCTATTTGAGACGGACCTTTATGTCTGATTTCCCCTGTTTTATAAGTGAATTTCATCATGTTTTAGAAAGAAGACCTGCTCTTTTCTGATTGGCTCCTATTTTAATTTGCTTGCCAACTTTGTCCAACTTGTTCGTGCTGCAGGAGTTCCAGGCAGCGACTACATTAATGCCAACTACATTGACGGCTACAAGAAACAGAATGCTTACATCGCCACACAGGGGCCTCTGCCAGAGACGCTGAGCGACTTCTGGAGAATGGTGTGGGAGCAGAGGACCTGCACCATTGTTATGATGACTCGCCTAGAGGAGAAGTCACGGGTGAGGATCTCATGTTGAGAAATAGTAAAACAGAAACTCTGATGACAGTGGCCTTGGATTACAGTGTGTTTATCAAAATAGATGGACAATGCACAATAAATCAGTGCATCGATACAGTAAGAGCAAGCTCAGTAGTAGTGCTATATAGTTTATCATTATGCACTGATTTGACATAATTCAACTCACTTCATCCATCTTCTTTCATACACATAAAGGTTTATCCGGAAGGGGCAGGGCCCGATGTCACGACAGTGGGTGACACTTGTTGCTGTTACAGTGGTGCTGCTTGTTACTGGTGTAAGCAAGGAGGACCCAGTACCACAGTCCCAAAGGGGTGGTGCTTTCGTGTCAGCGGAAGGGAACTGGTCGAGACAGACAACCACCCAACTAGAGCCGAAGGATCTGTCCTAGGTTTCTGCCTTTTAACAGGCAGTTTTTCCTTGCCCCTTGTCACCAAGTGCTTGCTCATGGTTGGTACTGTTTGGGTCTCTGTAAATCAATGTTATAAAAGAGTTTCGGGTCTAGACCTGCTCTATTGAAAAGTGTCCTGGAGAAATAACTTCTGTTATGAATTGGCGCTATACAAAATAAAATTGAATTGAATTGGAATTGAATTGAAATTGAATATTGAATTGAATGAATTGGAAGGTCTTGGGTTTTCAGAAAGGGGTTTGGGATTAATGTAGCAGCAGTGTAAGGTTCTGGGAAGAAAGTGTTGGGGGGTCATTATGGTTTTAGCCTATAAACGTTAGCTATCACCGTGGTCACATTCCAACTTGTAACTAACTAGTCTAAAGTTGTAAAGTAAGGAGTTAAAATAGTTTGCAAGAACACAAGTAGAAGACAAGGTTGTTAAAGGCCGACTAGTCTCACTGTTTTAATGTGAAGAAATTCTCTTTTAGCCCACTTATTAGCACCGCCTTTTTAAGAACGTCAAAGTATTACTGACAATATTTTCTATGTTGCATGGAACAAAAACGTGAAAATCTCTTAAAAGCTTCTGTTACACTACAGATCTGATATTTCAGACATTCTAAACCAAAATTAAACCCCTATTGAAAGACTTTAAAATGCGAGGGAACTGGAGATGCTAAAATCTAACTCATTTCCAGGTTTTACGAGTTTAATTAATTCTTGCAGCACTCTATGGGGTTTGCGATGACAACAAGGGGTGGGGTATGTTTATAATTGGGGACAAAAACTGGAAGTTTAACTGAAAGCAACTGCTCCAGGAATTTATACAGTGGTCACCACTTCCCCAAGCAGGTGTTCTGATATACTGCCCTGTATCTAGTGCATAGCTCCAGTCGTGCTGTCTGCAACAGCATTACCCTGCTTTACTGGACATAAG